GCTATATATGAAAAACTCACAGCTAATACTAAAACTAAGGGATCCCTGGGTGGCGCAGTGGTTTGGCGCCTGCCTTTGGCCCAGGGCGCGATCCTGGAGACCCGGGATCGAATCCCATGTCGGGCTCCCGGTGCATGGAGCCTGCTTCTCCCTCTGCCTGTGTCTCTCTGCCTCTCTCTCTCTCTCACTGTGTGCCTATCATAAATAAATAAAAAAAAATAAAAAAAAATAAAATAAAATAAAACTAAGAGCTTTTCCTCTATGGTCAGGACAGAACAAGCATTTGTATTCTCATCACTATTATTTAACATAGTACTGGAAGTCCCAGCCACAGCAATCAGACAACAAAAAGAAATAAAAGTCATCCAAATCAGCAAAGATGAAGCAAACCATTCACTATTTGCATATGGCATGATACTCTATACAGAAAACCCAGAATATTCCACCAAAAACCTACTAGAACTGAAATATGAATCCAGTAAAGTCTCAGGATACAAAATCAACATATATAAATCTGTTGCATTTCTATACACCAATAATGAAGCAGCAGAAAAAGAACTAAAGGAATCAATCCCACTTACAATTACACCAAAAACAATAAGATACCTAGGAATAAACCAAACCAAAGGGTGAAAGACTTATGCTCTGAAAACTATAAAACACTGATGAAAAAAATTAAAGATGACACAAAGTAATGGAAAAACATTCCATGCTCGTGGATTGCAAGAATAAATAATGTTAAAATGTCTATACTACCCAAAACAATGCACATATTTAATCCAATCCTTATCAAAACACCAAAAGCATTTTTTGCAGACCTGGAACAAACAATCCTAAAATTTGTATGGAATCATGAAAGAATCTGAATAGCCAAAGCAAAGCTGGATGCATGACAATTCCAGACTTCAAGTTATATTACAAAGCCATAGTGATCAAAACAGTATGGTATTGGCAAAAAAATAGACACATAGATCAATGAGACAGAATAGAAAACTCAGAAATGAACCCACAATTATTGGTCAATTAATCTTTGACTAAGCAGGAAACAATAGGGGAAACACTGGGGAAAAACACTCTTCAACAAATGGTATCGGGGAAAACTGGGCAACAACATGCAAAAGAATGATACTGGATCACTTTCTTATATGATATACAAAAATAAATTCAAAATGGGTGAAAAACCCTAAGTGTGAGACTTGAAACCATAAAAATCTGGGAGAACACAGGCAGTAACCTCTTCAACACTGGTTGTAGCAACTTCTTTCTAGCTATGTCTCCTCAGGCAAGGGAAACAAAAGTAAAAATAAACTTTTGGGACTTCATCAAAATAAAAATCCCCTGCACAGTTAAGAAAACAATCAAGAAAACTAAAAGGCAATCTTTAGAATAATAGGAAGTGTTCAAAAATGATAGTTTTGATAAAGGGTTAGTATCCAAAATGCATAAAGAACATCTAAAACTTAACACCAAAAAACACAAATAAGCCAGTTAAAACATGGGCAGAAGACATGAGTAGATATTTTTCCAAAGAAGACATACAAATGGCCAACAGACACATGAAAAGATGCTTAACATCACTTATCATCAGGGAAATACAAACCAAAACTATGATGAGATATCACCTTACACCTGTCAGAATGGCTAAACTCAACAAAACAATAAACAACACGGGCTGGGGAGGATATGTAGAAGTGGAAACCCTCCTACACTGTTGTGGAAATGCAAATTGGTATGGCCACTCTGGAAAGCAATATGGACACTCCTCAAGAAGTTAAAAATAGAACTACCCTATGATCAGCAACTGTACTAGTAGGTATTTACCCAAAGGATACAAAAATACTTATTCAAAGAGGCCCACATACTCTGATGTTTATAGCAGCATTATCTACAATAGCCAAATTAAGTAAAGAGTCCAAATTTACATTGACTAATAAACGGATAAAGAAGATATAGTATATATATGCAATGGAATATTTTTTTAATGCAATGGAATATTACTTAGCCATAAAAAAGAATGAAATCTTGCCATTTGTATCCATGTGGATAGAGCTAGAATGTATTATGCTAAGCAAAATAAGTCAGTCAGAGAAAGAAAAATACCACATTATTTCACTAATACCATATTATTTCACTAATATGTGCAATTTCACTAATATGTGGAATATAAGAACTGAAACAGACGAACATAAGGGGGAAAAGAGATAGGCAAACCATAAAACAGACTCTTACTGTAAAGAATAAACTGAGAATTGCTGGAGGGGAAGTGGGTGGGGGCTGGGTTAAATGGATGATGGGTATTGAGGAGAGCACTTGCTATGATGAGCACTGGGTGATGTATGTAAGTGATGAATCCCTAAATTCTATACCTGAAACCAATATTACAATGTATGTTAACTAACCAGAATTCAAATAACTTGAAACAAAGAATTAGCATACTCCACTTCAATTAGCAATTAACCACACTATTGTTCAATGCAAGGGGTATGAAGAAATAAATTTCAAATTTATTTGAGGTGTACTTCTCTAAGTGTTAACAGTCAGGAGAGATGGTTGTGGCAACTGAAAGTTAACCTCCAGGTGCCAGGGGAAAAGTAAAAAGTCCCTTGATGGTAGAGTGTACTGGTAGAGAATGATGGCACTGGTGTTGATAGGCAAGACAATTTTTTTAAATTAATTAATTAACTAATTAATTAATTATTTGGTTGGTGCTGGGAAAAGAGTCATCTTTACCAAGCAGAGGTTACTTGCCCCACAGTATTCAGAGAGCAATTTTTCCAAGTTTTTATTTAAGTTCCAAGTCAGTTTACGGTGTAATATTAGTTTCGAGTGAGGATTTAGTGATTCACCATTTACATACATCACCCCGTGCTCATCATAACAAGTGCCCTCCTTTTTTTTTTTTAATTTATTTATTTATGATAGTCACAGAGAGAGAGAGAGAGGGGCAGAGACACAGGCAGAGGGAGAAGCAGGCTCCATGCACCGGGAGCCCGATGTGGGATTCGATCCTGGGTCTCCAAGATCGCGCCCTGGGCTAAAGGCAGGTGCCAAATCGCTGCGCCACCCAGGGATCCCAACAAGTGCCCTCCTTAATACCCATCCCCCCTCACCCACCTCTCCTTCAGTAATCCTGTTTGTTTTCTATAATTAAGAGTCTGTGAAAACTAAATGGAATTTTAATAATTTAAATATACATATATATTTATAACTCCTAAAATGAATTATAAAAACAAAAGGCAAATAAAAAAATAAAAAACAAAATAAAAACAAAAGGCAACCCAAAAGAACATGTCCAAAGGACTTGAATGGGCAATTAATTAAAAAATGAAGTCTGAAGTGCTAAAAAGTACAAGAAAATATGCATAGCCTTTTTATAATAGAGGGAAATGAAAACTGAAATTATGAAGATATATTAACATATACCCATATACGCAACATATACCCACTTAATAAAAATTTTGAAGTCTAATGAAACCAAAATTTGGAAGAACATAGGGCCATAAGAATTCGTTGCACTGTTGGTGGTATGAAAATTAGTAAATCTCTAAAAAATGGATTTGAGGTCATAGAGTAAAGTCTCAAGATATTAAACAATTCTACTTCTGGATACCAAATCCACAGATATATATGCACAACTTCAAGAGTATATATCCAAGAATTTTCATAACAGCTTTGCTTATAATGATCTAAAAATAGAAACAGACCACAGTTGATGGTCACACATTCATTTGGTAGACAGCAATACACTAATATGTAGAAATAAACTACAACTACATGGGATGAAAAGAATGATTAACACAAACAATGTTGAACATAAGATAGAAAAAAGAATATATGCAATATTGAATCATTCATAAGCTGAAATATTGGCAAAACTCAATTATGTTATTTAAGGATGCACATAGTGACAAAATCATATTCAAAATGTAAAGAGATGAGTATCATAAAATTCAGACTAGCAATTATGCCACTAAGAAGGGAGGCCAGGGATGTATCAGTATGTGGGGGTGGTTAGGATGCTTGATAGGTTCGATTTCTTGACTATAGTAATGGTTGTTTCCTTTCACATAATTCACTAAACTATCCTTATGTTTTATGCAGTTTTTATATGTCTCCTTTGTTTTGCTATAAAACAATAATTAAAAACACATTAAGGTTGTTTGCACTCCTCTCTAGCATAAATTTTCCAGGAAGTTTTTTATTGTGGATTAGAATAACTCCTAACTTTGTCTCATCTAAATTTTTATCCTACTCTCAGCACTGGAGAGAAACACCTACTGAAGAACCTCTTGTTCTCAATGCAGCCACCTTATACAGTTAGAAATTTACAGCTGTGAGGTATGGATGAACACTCAATTATCTTAGTTTTTTTCCTACCAAAAATATATAAAAATGGCAAATTCAAACTATAGAAAAGTTATTTCTGCAGGGGCTTTTATTTTCTCCTTGAGAAAGTTGTTGTACTAGTAATCCATAAAATATCTTTTATTGGCACTCATATTCTTACACGAGAACTGTAGTATAGAATAAGAGCTCATTTCCTGCAAACCATTTTTCTACTTATTGCATGACACACAGAATATGAACTACTGTAATGTCACAGTTTAGAGTAGACTTTTCCTCTTTCTATATGAAATTTATCAAAGCTCTTATTCTGATTTTGTGCCTGATACAAATTAAAACCAAGAAGTTATGCATTGTATAAATATTAAATTCATTACTTCATGAAAATTATTACTATAATGAATGGAAGATGATGCTAGTTCCCTAGGAGAGTATTAGATTACTTTTTTCCTTTAAATTATTCTAAAGCATAAATATAATTTATTGCTTAATATTCTGATAGGAACTTAAGGTCATTTAAATGCCTAATTCTCCCCTCCCCCCTTCTCTTTCAAAGTATGGGCTCTAATGCATACTGTAGACCATATGACATGGAGAAAAATCAAACAAAACTATAGTTACTTTAGGAAAAACAGTATCAGTGTGTCTGGTCTTACTTTGCGAACACCTCGGCCAAGCTCTTCTCCATAGTTGGTTCCAAGAATTTCAAAATGGACATTGGGATTTCCTCCATTCTCTCCAAATTCTAATTCTCCAGTCAATCCACTGACTCCACCCTAAAGTAGAGAAAAGATACCAATGTAAGATTTCAGAAGTTAAATAATAATAATAACAGCAATAATAATAATAACAACAACAATGAGAAGTGAGGAAGAAGGAGGAGGAGAAAAAGTGGTTCTAGGAATAGTATTTCCATCAACAAAATAAATATTACATCAAGCATTCAATTATTAATAGGCTATTTTTAAATAAATGTACATAATAAATAGAATGATTGAAAGATAACCTTGAGAATAAGTTAATCCTCTCACCCATTTTACAAACAAGAGAATTTGAATAAAAAGAGTCAAATGACTACTCAAAATGACACCATGGTAGAGCTGAGACTAAACTGCAAGCTAGGATTTTTGCCTCCATTGCTTGTGAAATGCATAGATCCATTAGTCAGAAAACAAGATGCTTTCGGAGAGCATAAAATCTACTCTGGAGACAAGTTTTGACAATATTCTTTCTCTAGCACAATTCTATTCTAATTTGATCTAAAATTATATCTGGGAATCTTAAAAGCCATGGTTTCTAACTTATTGGAGATTTATTTTTTCCTTCTTCTTTAAATATCTTCTCCAAATTAAAAAAAAAATTAAAAATGCTAAATTAGGCCTGAAATCTGTTTTCACTCTTAAATAGTAATGCTGGTTGTTGAGATTCATTGGGAATTTCCAAACTTCATCTTTCATTCAACATGACAGATGTTCATTTCCCCAACAGATGGCAATGTGGGTCATACTTCTCTCTTTCTTGTTTACCACTCTTTTCTGTTTAGTTTATCAGCCTTCATATTATTTAGGATTTTACAAATGAAAATCATATTCCGAATCACTACTATATTAAAACATTTTTAGTCAGAATTTCAGCCTGATAATCACATTTATTTGGGAAAGTTAGATCTCCGTTTGTAAATTTCTTCAATTATCACTTCTATGATGTTGATATCCAACTATCCCTCTTTTTTTAATGTCTTTAAATATTTTTAAGGTTTAAAAAGTGTTTAAAGTTTGTAGTTCCTACTAGGAAAACATTATCTGGATGAATCCCCTAATGGCAAACCACTGTAGAATGTTTCAGTTGCCTGTAGGGCAGAGGGGTAGGGATTCTCTTTACAGCACCCCAGCTTTCTTCATGAGAAGGCCAGAGATACACTGGTTTGTATTATTGCGACATCCATTAGGTGATCAAAGTTACTTTTCCTTCAGCAAGGGCTTAACTGTCAGAAGGGCATTATGCTCGACCTCCAAATTTGGCTGACAATTTACTGATGAGATTCATAACCTTTGGGTTGCTCTGATACCTTGACATATATGCTGGGTTCTAGGCTACATTGTGGAAGGCCACCATAACTTCTGGACCCTGCATGGCTGCAAGAACCTCTGGGTCATTCAGAATTTCATTGAGCCCAGGCATTCCTGCCATTCCAGGCATCCCCCCTGCCATTCCAGGCATTCCTCCAGGAAAATTACTAGGCATTCCCCCTGGAAAGCCACCTGGGAAAGAGCCTTACTGAGCTCTTAATTGTCGTCTGGCTTCTTCTTCCCTCTGGGCTCTCTCATGATCTTCCCGAGCCTTCTTAACCCTTTCTATTCTTTCTTTGATCTCTCGTTCTTCACGTTTTCGTTCATACTTTCTCCAATGTTCAGCAATTTTCTGGACCCTCAGTTGAACTTCTTTCAGCATTGCACCAGCATCTTCATCATAATCCAGTTTACAAGCAAGGGCAAGATCATGTGCTGCTTCTTCCCAATGACCCAGAAGTCTGTGTGCTTTCCTTCGCCACTTGTAAGCCTGAGCTGAATCAGGATTTATTTCAATAGCTCTGTCACAGTCTCGAATGGCAGCATTTGGCTTCTGTAATTTGATGAAGACACTGGCTCTCCTGGCGTACAAAATGGCCAAGTGATGATTCAGTTTGATGGCATCTAGTGAACAAGTCCATGACTTTCTGTAGTTCACCATCATTTAGGGCATCAATGGCAGCCACTTTTTTTATCATTTGCCTGATCCATCATTTCCTCGGTTATCTCTACATTTTCATCTCCCATTTCTTGAGGGGCATCAGTACCTGGTTCAATCACACCTTCATTGTCAATTTCTAGATCACTTTCCTCACTTGATGTTTCGTCTGTCTTTATGTTTTCCTCCGCCTTCTTACTTACTATCTGTTTTTTCCTCCTTGATATTGTCTTCTGATTTAGTTTTATGAGTAGCAGGTGGTATTTTACCCCCCATGCTCTCCACCCACTCCCGCAGGAAGCGCATTTGCTCGGTGTGCAGAACGCTCCGATCCTGCTTAACGCGTTTTCACGAAGGCCCGAAGCTCGCTCACTCTGCGGGGTCGGTGGTCCAGAGGCGGCGGCCGGCGGCCAGGCACGGGGACCAGCTCAGCGTGACCGTGTGGAAGGCCCGGATAGATCTCACTTGCCATAACCTCTAATCCAACTTCTGGTCCTTTATGGCAGGTTTCAGGCTGTTTGCTGTATCTTCAACTTCATCTGTGCTTTGTAGCCCATTGTATGACTCTACATTCATACCAGATATTCCGTAAAACCATTGCTTAATCATTAATTTCAATACTTATTTCATGTTTGCAATAGTAATAGTCAGCAAAACCGATCCTCCACCACGATTTCTTTATAAGCCAGCTTCTCTTTAATTATCTTGTTTTATTAATAAAAATATATCTATGAATTTGATATGTCTATGCTCTTCTCATAGATGAGTTAGCAGTCAATAGCATGGGTTTTGGAGTTAGACTTCCTGAATTTGAGAAACTGGGACAGAATCTACTTGCTGGTAAACCTGGCTAACTCATTTAATTTCTCAATAACCCCAATTTCTACATTTGTTAAACAGCAAAATAATAGTGCCTACCCCAGAAGGCTATTATTTGTCTTAAAATACCATATCCATAAAAAAATAGAAAAGTGCTTGAAAAGTGGTAAGAGCTTAATTACTGTCATCACCATCACCATTATCTACATGATTATTTCATTCTTTAATTTCAAAAACTTTTTAGTTCTGCCAGAAATTATAGACATACTCCTGGTCTTTTTCAACTAGTTTATTAGGGTTGAAAAATTTCATTATATGCTTGAATATTTATGTGGCTTTGGGAAATGTTTTTTGCAAATTTTGACTCAATTACATTTTATTGATTAGTATTTGAGGAAAAAAGTGTTAGAGCAGCTGGTCTAAGATCCATTCACTTCTTTTACTGTTATGTGTGTTGTGGGAGAAGGGGATGCAGGCCAGAAGGAGAAAAAAAAAGAAAGAAGGTAAGTGAGTCTAATGTCCTTGTCACTAGAACACCAGGTAGAGACTAGTAATATTTAATAGGAAGAATGGTCCTTATCTATAAAAGCCCTTAGCAGGATGTCCTGCGCTAAAGACTTATTGTAGTAAATAAACTCAGAATCCTTAGATTAATGGCTTATGGCTCCCTGGAAAATGTCCGGAAGCTTTATACTTTCTAGGGTAAAAATGGAGATATTTCATAATGTAAATGCTCTCTCTGAAGGTAAACCGATAAAACCTTCCTTGGCAACAGAATGTGTGTGTCCAATGTGGAAAGAAAGGATTCAGAGAGCCATGCAGAATGCCCCACAATCTCTCTCCTCTGGGCCTCTTGATTGCCTGTATCTTTGATATGGGCAAATTAACATATTATTGCAAGTCAATTTGGTCCTATACGTTCACTCAGTACTAACATCTCAAAGAATCCGATAATCGTTCAAGAATTTAGATTGGGGTAAGTATAGCGGATCTTATTATCATTAATACCTCTAAATGGCAAATACTGTAGGAGTTTGATTGACAAGTACAGCTTATATTTCTACACCTAAGTTCAAACTATTGGTATTCAACAATCCTCTATTAGAGATTTTCTTGTCCCCATTCACACATCTCCCCAATAAGTACTAAGTAAATTTCTTAGTACTTTATTTCTAGGGAAAAAGAACAAAGATAGTATATATAAATATGGTTACTATATTGCAAAAACGCTCTCCTCCTGAAATTTTTAAACTTTTGAACACTAGATTGCCTGGCACTCTATTATTATTCCCAGGCAGTACTCATATGGCCACGCTAGGCCAATATTTTCATCCGTAGCTCGTATCTGGTACTGAGCAACTTAGTCTGCTTAGATTGTATACAGGTACAAAGAAACCCTGTAAATCATGGCATCTGCAGTTAGTTAACTGTGGCCTCCACTTTCCTTGTTCACCTTTTTGACTCTGTAATTTGTCTTCTTTGTGTTATATTCTTAATGAGCTGTTAGCATGCTTAATCGGTAAAACCTTCCCTCACAAAGATATAAGGGCTGCTTGAGAGGTTGTATTTCAAGCAAATAAACCCAGTTCCTTGTTATCTGGCCCCAATTTAACCTCTCTGATTTTTGATTGCCTAAGGCTATTCCCATGCTTTTGAGCTTTTCCTTTCTTTTTTTTTCTTTTTTCATTTTTCATCTATCCTCAGATCAACTTTGAAAACTGAGCCTTGATAAAAATATGTTCTGGCCAGGTGGTAATGAGCAGTCATTATCTTTGTACATGCACAGTTGCATTTTTTATCTCTTGGTGATGCAGCAGATTCTAAACAAAACAAGCTAATGGAACATTGATAGTATGAATAACACATACAAGTAATTTCTAAATGTCCTTTAAATTGACAGTAAAAACTGCTACCAGAGTAAACCTTTTTGAAATACCATGTAAAATTGGTCTTGATTTTATCCTACCTAATCTATATAGAAATACCAGAGGGTATCAAATATACAAAAGATAAAGGAAGAAAAAAAACGAGGAAAAGCAAAGGTCAGGAATAATTTACCACTAGATAATCAGTTTCTCAAAAGGCAGAAGTTTGTCATTCCCCTTTAGATAGGAAAAGTTGAGGGAAAAAAAAAACTAAGAAAAATATTTACTAAGAATTCATTTCTCCCTGTTATTAGGCTGAAGGACTTTTCCCTATGCTTGAACTGCACAGAAACTTCGAGATACTT